GGAATTGATTATATAATGTTAAAAAAGATACAAATGTGTATATGAAGTACGACTACATATACAGAATATATAATAATTTGTATATTAAAAAAGAAAAACAGGAAGGAATATACCAAAATAGCAACTGCAGTTGCTTTTTGGTGGCAGTCTTGGTTTTCTTTCAATGTAGAATTGAATTCTACAATAATGAATTCTAGTGAGGAAATGAGCTCAGGCTTTTTAGTTCTAGCTCCCAAGCAATGTAGACAATTTTCCCAGTGTAGTCATCCACCTGAACTCACTCTCTGACAAAGATGTTTGTTTTACTGCTGAATGGCTGGACTATTACAAAGCTATTCCTGCTATTGAAATGGAATCTCTTTGTCCATATATGTATTATATATATATATATATATATACACACACACACACACACATACATATCCCATAAATATATATTTTTCATATATATATTTTCCATAAATGTGTGTCTATACACACACACACACACACATTCCGATTCTTCCCTCTGCTGCATGCTTTTGGGTCTCTACAGGCAGGTTAATGTTCTTTGTGTGCTCCAGTTGGGTCTTTTCCTGACACGGGAAGAGAAGTACTGCCTCCGGGAGACTCCAGACTCTCTTTGTATGATCCACACAGAGCCTCCAAACAAAGAGAGAACAAAGTTCCATCTTTCATTTTGGGCAGTGTTCCTCAAGCTTTGGAAATCCTGCCCTGGTTTCTTTAGTCTTGAGCTTATGGCTGTTATCTCTGTTAAAATACAATGCTCCTTCCCTCCCACTCCAACCTCAGAAAAGCTAAAGTCTCCATCTATTTTAATCACTCAGTAAATTAGTATGAATTGGTTTCAGGTCATTTCCTGATAAGAGGTTTTGATGGGAATAGAATGAAAGCATATGAGAGATGTGATAGGGGAGAGGGTCCGAGGAAAGGGCACAGAAAGATGGAGTGGGGAGCCATGGATGACCCACTTTACAGTTTGCAGAGGGTTCACAGCTGACAGCCTCCCTGAGCTATTGCCAAGACTGGATTATTCCAGTGGTCACAGCTAACCACTATTTTTTTATTGTTTTGGGTGGGTTTTGCAAGATTCAAGGATTCTGCACTCCTTGAATTCACATGTTTTCTTTCAGAGACATTAAGAAAATATACACCCTAATACTGGCCTTTAAGTTTCCTAGGGAGATTAGGTTAATATCAATTCAAGTGATAAATGCTCTGAGATACAAAAGTATTTTCCCTGGTGCTAATGTCTGTTTCTTTCCTTGTACTTTGTTCCTGCTCTTATCTTAGTTTTACTATGTAGGTAGTGCATAGTTAAGGACCATTTTCTTGGGGCAAAATAAAAATACTAAACAAAATCTATAGACTTAGGGAAAGCCAGAGTACAACCTCTTACAGGCAGTTGCAGTATAAGGCCATCCCTGCAAGGCCTGGTGTGAGCCCGTGATGATATTCTGCTCAGCAGAATCTCTATCCCCATTGCCTTACATGTGAAGAGAGGAAAGGTGCTGCTGCTCATGGTTTTGAATGTCCCTCCAGTGTGTGACCACCATGTGGGGTTCAGAGAGTGAGATGGGCAAGGTCAGTGATACAGGAAGGCATTATGTCAAAGTTTTGAATAGATTTACAGGTTTTCCTAAAATACAGGTAAATTGTAATTCCTACTTTCCAATAATTCCCTTAACTCTCACCTTCTTAAATCTTAACAGCAAACTCAACCTTAGTAATTCCTAACAGGAGGCATTCAATGCCTGAAGATGCTCAGGACAAAGTTCCCAGTCTTTGTCTTTGAGCAGGTGTTAGCTGATAGATGGGATCACGAGTATGGGAATTTCTGAGAAGCCAATTCTCATGCTCTGCCCTGGTGGATGCTTCCTGAGTAGATGGCGGTTGTGACCCACATCTGCTGTGAACTGGCCCAGTGCCAGCAGCTTTTATTCTCTGAATTGGAAAGGAACTTGTATGTGGGGTGTTTGGGGTACAGGAACCACAGGATGTGGACATTCTGGGTCTCTGATGCCTCATAAGGAAGATGCATCTGTTGGATTAGGCAGCTGGTGAGAAGACTGCGTCAGCAGAGGGAATGAGCAGTTTCCCAGCATGCAGGTCCCATCTGTTCCACCACTTCCTACCTTCCTCTTAGAACATGGGCTTTTCCAGGCCTATTAGCCAGTTTATATAGTCAAGTCTGACTACTGGGATCACTGTGATGGCATAAACAGTGCTGAATAAGGAGATATCTCCTCCCGATGTGATGGAGACCAGATGGCTTAGGTTGTGGAAGCTGAAAGGCCATGGCAGAACCATTCTGACCTCTCCTGGCAAACTATACAGAAAGAAAGTTTATCTGTATGAAGAAAATTTCTCTATTGTTTTTCTCATTAAAATAGAGGTTAATAAATCTCAGTGCAAATTGTCTCCCTTCCATACAATAAGTCTGCAGTGATAGTTGAGTTAATGAGTGTATATAGGACAGAGTCTCAGTTTTCATCACTGAATTCTCTATATGCAGAAATCTGCCCTGGTGGATGCTTCCTGAGTAGATGGCGGTTGTGACCCACATCTGCTGTGAACTGGCCCAGTGCCAGCAGCTTTTATTCTCTGAATTGGAAAGGAACTTGTATGTGGGGTGTTTGGGGTACAGGAACCACAGGATGTGGACATTCTGGGTCTCTGATGCCTCATAAGGAAGATGCATCTGTTGGATTAGGCAGCTGGTGAGAAGACTGCGTCAGCAGAGGGAATGAGCAGTTTCCCAGCATGCAGGTCCCATCTGTTCCACCACTTCCTACCTTCCTCTTAGAACATGGGCTTTTCCAGGCCTATTAGCCAGTTTATATAGTCAAGTCTGACTACTGGGATCACTGTGATGGCATAAACAGTGCTGAATAAGGAGATATCTCCTCCCGATGTGATGGAGACCAGATGGCTTAGGTTGTGGAAGCTGAAAGGCCATGGCAGAACCATTCTGACCTCTCCTGGCAAACTATACAGAAAGAAAGTTTATCTGTATGAAGAAAATTTCTCTATTGTTTTTCTCATTAAAATAGAGGTTAATAAATCTCAGTGCAAATTGTCTCCCTTCCATACAATAAGTCTGCAGTGATAGTTGAGTTAATGAGTGTATATAGGACAGAGTCTCAGTTTTCATCACTGAATTCTCTATATGCAGAAATAATGTACAGGAACTGGGAGTACATATATCTAAATGGAAAAGTAGGGTGATTAGAGACCAGCTTTATACATAGCTCTTGGAGTCTTTGCATTGGAGAGAGGGGAAGATTTTACTCTGGTGTTGGATTCAGTTATTTTATGTTGAGCCTCCAGGCTAACACGAGACTATGTTGACTTGTTCCAGGTTGTTTTTGAGTGGACACAAATGCGTAGTGGAATGAGGTGTGATATTAGGAGAACAAAAGTAGACAAGAGAGTTGGAGTTATGTAAGTTGACACTGCTTCTGTCTTCCAGAAAAGGCATGTGATCTGGACAGCTCTCATTGTAGTCCATCCACAGAACTGGTGCTTTCAAATCTGTGCCCTGGAGCTTCATAGGATCCATATGTCCTATAGGATCTAAGATTCAGTTCTAAGCCTTTACAGGAGTGATATGTAGAGGGTCCAAACTTTTCCAATGACAAATTACAGTGATAAACTACCTGGACCTGGATTTAGGTAGAAACTTCCAAATCTTTTTGAGTCAGGCACCTTCAGGAGTCATAATATCAATGGAGTTTAGGCTCAGTCCCAAATGGTGCTCTGGGTCCAGGTCTCAGGAAAATACCCATATATGGCTCTGCAAGGTGGTGCTAACTTTCAAGACCTGCATGGGTTGGGGTAGGACTGAGAAGCAAAACAGAATTAGGGAGGGACCTACTTTGTGTCATTTCCCTGTTGAGATTCAAATGGTCTGGGAATTATCTTTGTGAGGTTGTAAGGCTCAGGGTGAGGGAGGCTGGGAGGAGTACTCAGAGGTGGAAGGTTTGCGGAGTATCAATACACTGTGACAAGATTTCAAAGAAGAAAGTATGATTTTATGAAATGGAGGCCGAAGGATCAAGATTAGAGAAAGATATTTAGAAATAAATGCTTCAGAAGACACTGAATGAAAGATGGGGTATGGAACAATACATCAAAAGCATTTCTTCCTGATGTTGTATTGTTCCAAGGTAGTCCGAGCTTGAGCTCTTTGCTCCGAAAGCTCCTGGGACAATAGAGAAATGGAAGAGGATTTATGAAGAAAGTAAAAAATTTTACTTGTACGTTGACCTTGTAATGGAGATGAGAGTGCACAGGAAGACCCTTTTGGAGTATACTAGAAAATACAAATAAGCCAGAACTTTTACAGAAAAAGAGGAAATTCCATGCTTAGTGAATGGTCAGATATAACCTAATTTGGAACATATCTATTTCCATCAGAAAACTGGTAACAACATTTCAGTGAACTTGGGTCTAAATGTCTTATACTGAGTGCAAATGGCAGCTGCTATTTTGTGTGAGTTCAATCAGAGAGACATAGGGGACAATTTGATCTCTGATCTTGTTGATGAGCAGAGCTGCTGGCTCAGAAACACACTGAGATGTTTTGTGCTTTTCAGGTCCTCTGCTTTTGAATGCAAGGCTGTTATTCTACCTGAGGACCTTGCCTTTTCCGCCTTGTGTATCCATGATCCAGGGACACCCTGTACTAGAGACACAGATGATTTATTTGCAAGCTTTGCCTAAGACCTAATTAATAATGGTATCTCAAGTAATTTACACGATTAGATTTGAAGACTATAATATAGATTTCTTGGTCTTTTTCTTACTGTTCCAAAATATAACCAGATAATGCTCTGTCTGATTACTTGGAAGCCAAGATGCTTTCTTGTAGAAACAATCTAAAGAGTTCCTTTAGGAAACCTAGGAAAGTGTAAGACTAAAGACAAGCTACAACCTGAAGCCCAGGATGCTGACTTGAGCACAGACGGGAGAATGTTCACAGCCAAGAAATATGAGGCCTTTGGCTGCTTTCCCAGAACTGCCAGGCTAAGACCTTGGCAGAGACTCAACAGGAAACTGAACTCTATTTGCATATCCTTTTATACATGGGAGATTAAAAGCTTCAACCTTGAGTGATCACAGTTTTTGAGCATCATGAATGAGGCATTAAAGAGGAGGAGGAGTATCCCAAGGGAGGTGAACTGGAGGCAAAGCAAGGTAGGTGTGAGGTTAGCAATGACTTTCAATCTCCTTTGATTAACCAGGAATATATTTTGTTTGGTTTGTGTTTTGATTTGATCCTTATTGGATCAGCTAGGCAGTTAATCTGTGCTTCCTAATCTTGGGAATCTGTCATATGTGCTCTCCTTTTTCCCACGGCTGCTTCCTTCTCTTTCTTTTGGGCAGAGACCTATGGTGTTAGTGCCCAACCAACTGTGGAGATCATCTAATGTAAACTCTTTATTGTACAGATGAGAATCTGAGCCTCAAAGAGGTTGACTTATCTAAAGTCACACAAAAATAAGTAAGCGTTCTGGTTCCTAAACAAAACATTTTTATCCCAACAGGCTGCTAGCTCTTCTTAGCAGGTGCAAGTTTCCTCAGATCTCACATAGCTTCTTTCCAGGATAGGAATTGGCACAGATGCCCTTCACTACCTTCTCCCATCAGAACATGCATTCTGACAAGAGAGTAGCTCGGATTCTCTGGCTTTTCTTCCCAGTCCCTCTGGATAAGGTTCTCTAGTTCTTTAATGGAAGAAGCCCGAGTACAGAGATGAGGATATTTGTCCCTGGGATTCATTGAGGGGAACTTGGTTTTCAGCCAAGAACTGTAGTGAAAACTAATCCCATGTAGACAGCATGGGCATGAGGAGGATGGGCAAATATAACTCACTAAGATTGGTAACTAAACTTTATAGGTTCCTTTTTAAGGATCGGAAGAGATCTCTCTATTCCTAAAAAGGTACATTAATTAAATGTATCCTAAGACTGGGGAGGCACTGCAGGAGAGTATCCTCAAAGCTGGATAAGGCTGACCTTTCTGAAAATGAGATCCCCTTTGTCCAGTTCTTTTTTTTTTTTTTAGACAACTGAACCAAGTCTACTGGGAAAAGATTGGGCATTAAAAGTTCATTCTCTTTGTTACTTCAGGTAAAGCTGCGACTGGGAAAGGCCACCTTCACTTGTTACTGACAAAAGACAATGAAGGTGCAATTAATGACACTGTGGACCTAGACCCACACAGTAATGTACTTGTCTTCAAGACTTTCACTCTCTTTAATTCAGGCAAAGAATTTAGAGAGGTTGTATGGGAAGAACACTCTTGATGAGGTATTTTTAAGAAAAATGTTCTGGTAGCATGTTTGGATTTCTTGGTTTGGAGAAACGTTAGTGGTCACTGTCAATGTTCCCTCCCATTCTAGAGCCCTTATGCTTTCTTCTTCTGAGTTGAAGAGAGAGTTATTGAAAGGTGCATTATTGAGCACCTTTCTGGCAATTATTTCATTTAATCCCTGTAATAACTCTGTGAAATAGGCATTATTATCTCTATTTTATGGATGATGAGGAAATAAAAATTAAAAGAAAACTTGTTCAAGGTCCCTCATGAGTAAAAGAGGGATTGTAATTCCCTTTTTTTGTCTAATTTGTGAGCACATGCTCTTTTACTACTAAAATAATTAACATTTAAAAACACATATTCAGTTTATAGACCAAAATTCTTTAAGATCAAAATTTTAAACTTGTTCATTTTAAGATAAGTGAAAGAACCTTGACAGAGTTAGGGACAATTGTCAGATTATTGTTTGTAAATCAACATATTAGTATTCCTGTGAATGATTAAGCATATTTATTTTTGTATATCACTACCTATCTGCACTATATTGCCATCTATTTAAGAGGGGAAAATACACCTAAACTGTGCCATGCAACTTTCTGTTAACATGATAAGGATGTTTTCATGTATCTGCAAATGTGGGAAGCATTATAGAAGGTGTTTCTCTGAGAGAAAACCCCATTCTCATCTTTCTTTAACTTCGGTGTGATTGTGATTATGTGTTTTGCCCTCTTTTCTCCAATGTCCTAGAAGTCATGGGTTAAGAAAAATGACCATGATGGGTGACCAGCCTCGCCTGAGAGGTACGTATGAGCTAGAGTTTCTGACCACCAAGTCATCAGTTGGAACAATCTTTCTGGCCAACAGAACCTCTAGAGGAGCCACTCAGGATGGATTCCTTAGGGTCTTCTTCACATCTCTCCTTACCCTTTGGCCCAACCTGCTCTGAAAAGTAAGTGTGTAAGTAATCCATGCAGTAAGATGGTGGGTGAAAAGATTGGGAAAGAATAGGAGAGTAGTCCCAAATATGATAAAGATGGAGGGACAGATCTGGAATGGGGAAAGTCAGCTCAGAAAGGTCACTGTCGTACATGCAGATTCTTCTTTAGTTTTGCCTGCCAGAGAGCGTTCCATCCCCCTCTGTTTCTCTATGGTTCACTGGGGTGAAAGCACAGTAAGATTTGGCCAAGTTGCCAAATATTTCAGTTTTGAAATATTTGAATAATTGAAACCAAGTTTCAGTTTTTTGGTTTGTACATACAACTTATTGTTGATGTTATTCTAAATCTTCCCTTCACAGAAGATGTGCAAGGCTTAACATTCCCCAAAGGACTAATTTTGGAAACGTATTCATGTGGACATTCTGGATCTTGGCAGTATCAGTTCATCTAGATGAGTCTGAAGTTAAACTCAGAGGTGCTGCAGGTGATCATTAGGGAGTTCCCAGCATTTCTTAGGTCCCCCCAGAGCCACCAGCTGGTGTACTCACTGGACCTCTGGGGAGTAGGAAGTACTGATCAGAACTATAAGAGAGACATCATATGACCTCAGAAATGCTGATCCCTGCATTGACATACAGGAACAGCACAGGAAAGGTCAGCCTAGGCTTGGGACTAAGAGTAGCAAAGTGTCCACGGGTGTAGCATGGAGGTTATCAGTCTTCCTGGATGCCAAATGTACAGGTAGTATCATGGGAACACAACAGGAAATAGTTCTGCCCTCCTTGCAAAGCTTCCTTTGATAAAATAAAATCCTCTGCAGCCAGAAAAGATTCTGGGAAGGTATTAGAACTACTCTTTGTCCACAGATGTGATTATAAAAACAGCTTTTAATAAACTCTAGAAAAAGGAGACTCTTGAGTTGTGTGGTACAGTACCTTTGGAGGCAGGCTGCCTGGGCTTGTGTCCAAGCTCAGCCACTGACCAGCATTATGACGTTGGGCAATGCCTTCTCCTTGCTTTGCTGTCTTTATTTGTAAAGATGGGTTGTTGTGAAGATTAAGCAAATTGAAACATGTGAAGTACTTTGAGCAGTGACTTGCATACAGAAAAGTACCACATGACTATAGGCTATCAATTATCATTACTAGTACCTCTTTACAGTTGTTGATTATTTTCAGTTCAAGGAGATTTTCATTTTTAACTTCTTTTTGCTGAAATTTCAGAATAATTTCTCTTTTTCTCATCTCATAAAGAAGGTGAGAACTGGATCAGAGGGTGAGAACTGGAAGGGACCGCATTTACCCTATAGGAGCTGAGGGGTGGAGACCCAGCTGGTGTCAAAGTCAAAAGAGCACAGGTCTCCCTGCTCCTGGTAGAAAAGTCCTTCCACCACATCGTGATACCCTGTTGCCATAGGAAAGCAGCCTGTGTTTGGCCCTGTGTTCCAGGTTGGGGAAATGAGCCTGGGGAGGTGAAGTGACAGGCTCCAGTTCTCACAGGCAGAACTAGGTTTTGAACACAGGCTCCAGTCCAGTGGGTTTCTTTTCCATTGTGTAGGAACTCTTCATGTGCCATAATTCAACACTGTTAATTGCCCCAAGACTTACTCAGGGTAACCTGGGAACATGCCAGCCTGTGACTTTGTAGCAGAAGCTGATCAGTGTTGAGTATAATACTGTCCTTATACTCCTATAGTAACTTGTTGGCTTTCTTTTTCTTACAGCATTGTCATATAGTTGATTTGCATTTATTTTGAATAAAGAAAAAAGAGATTTTTGTCTCTGATGGGAGGTAGGCTCTGGCCACTGATGCATCCATTCCTCAGCAGAGATGATCAGAGGCACAGCCTTGGGGACAAAGAGCAGGGAGTGAGGAGCCAGGGCCTAATGAGTGGGGTTTCCTTAGGTTAAGATGAGAGAGAGACCAGCTTTTCTTCCTTATACCGTACACCTCTTTGTGTCAATATGAGGCAAGGCACCCACAGGAATGCAAAAGGACCCAGGGCAGAGTTTGAGATTTCAAGAATTCTTTAGAAAGAGGTAAAAAGCAAAGAACTGTAGTCAAGCCCTCTGGAGTCCTTTGAGGACTCAGTACTGTCACAATGCCAATGAGACTTCCTGCTCTTCCAGCCTCAAAGGCACTATGCAGGGCTCAGCTTGGCTGGGAGGAGAAAGATTTTCCGGCTTGACTAGAAGGGAGATAGCATCACAGGGATGTGAACTGAAAATGTAGGGTTGACGGGGAGTGTCCTGGAGAAATGAAGTACTCTGACAAAAAAAATATTAGAGATGTATAATTCTATCTCTTTGATTAATATTTGGGGGCAATATGTTGAATTGAAGTGTGGGAAAGAAGCCTCAATTCTGGAGTTCCTTCATCTTATTAATGTGGAAAATTTATTAGCCACACTTTCTGTTTGAGACACTGCAGAGGGCTAAGACCCTAACTAAAGTGGGAGAGTTTGGTTTGAACTCCATTCTCTTCTTTGCATGGTGACTCCTGTCCCTTAATTCACGGCAGTGTTTTCTGGTGTCAGTTTGCTCATTGTGAATGCAGGGAACTGTACATGACAGATCTTTAACTCTTGTGCTGCCTCGGCAAAAGTGGTAATGAGTTAGTGAAAACAGAAGAGACAAACTCAGACACTTTCCCTCACACTTCAGATACATGTGCACATGGTAAAGTGAGCAATTCTGTGGATCCACCTGAGCCCCATGGAAGTTCTCCAGCTCTCATCACACTATCTCCTGACCCTGCAGCTGCCATCCCAGGCAGATTCCTGAGAAGAGAAAGAGAAGGCAGTGAGTCCACTCACTCCCCAGAGACTCCGAGGGAGTCCAACAGATGTCCTTTGACAAGCATCAGAAGGGAAGAATACGCCCATTTCCATGTCATGTCCTGGGAGAAAAGCTGCTGCCCTAGGGGTGGTGCTCAGGAGTTAAGCAGCAAGCAGGAGGCTGTGTAGCTGGGTAGCAGCCGTTCTCCTTCAGCGGGGGGAGTGAGGCATCTCTGGAGTACGGCCTGGAAGTGAAATCACAGTGTTTTAAAGCCAGGGAGGGGTAGGGCGGTAAGAGGAAGGAGTTGGGTACCCTCACTTGCATCTCCTCTTCTGAGGACTGGCCAAGGAGTCAAAGGCCACCTCTACATCTCACAGATGCATGGACTTCACACACTCGCTTTCAGCTGTACTTCAGTTCGGATGTGTTTCTTTAGGACATCCTACAGCCCTGGCCCACTGCCAGGACCATCAGCCTTCCACTCAGACCCAGATCCTGGCTCTACTTCTGTGACCCTAGGCGAGCTACCGTGTCTCTCTGGGCTCAGTATCCCATCTGTAAGATGGAGCTGACAGTGACGACCTCACAGGGTTGTCATAGGATGAAGTGAGTCCACACCTGCATGTGGCTGATCTCATTGGCACTTAGTCATTTAGTTCACTTTCTTGTCAGTTATTCCACCTTATAGTTTGCTCTTTCTCATGATAAGTTACATTTCTAGGATAGCTACTATGGGCAATGCAATTTACATACTTGCTTATCATTAGCTATTTACAATAACACTGTGAAGCTGGACCTGTTATACCTGCTTCAGAGCTGGAGAGATATAGGTGATTTTAGAAGACAGTGTGGTGCTTATGTCAGGAGCACAAAATCTCAGTTAGGAAACATTTGAGAAGTCATCTGGGGCCCCTGCTGCACTGTCCCAGTTTCTTGACAGGCAGTCACAGAGCATCAGTTTGAGCAGGTCTGGTGAGGAGGGCACAGCCCCTGTTGTTCTTTATTTCTGACCCATTGTGGAGACGGCCTCCTCTATATTGCCCCCAAATCACACACTGTGTTCCATAGCCCAGAAGCATCTGGAACCTGTGGTCTTCCCTGACTAGCCGTGGTACCCTGGGCAAGTGCTGTAGCTTTTCTATGCTCATTTGTAAAGTGGGGTAATAACAGAAAATGCATCACGGTGTTGTTGAGGGGATTAAATCAATAACACATGTGAAGTGCCCAGGATAGTACCTGGCATATAGGAAACACTCAACAGATGCTAGTTACTATTATAGCTACATACAGTTTGATGGATTTGTCCAGATATTTTTCCTTCTCCTCCTCAAAGACATTCTTCCCCGTCTCTGTCAGAAGGACCCAGGGTGTCTCTTCCTGGGAATCCCATCTTGTAGACCTTAGAAAACCATGGCTCCGAAACTTTGACAACATCTGCATAACTAGCTTCCAAATGTCATTCTTTTCAAAACTCATGATTTCAAATTTGGAGAAGAATTGTACCCTGTTAGTCTTGGAGATGCTCTCCACCTTTCTGTCTATTGTTCATTCAAAAATGAATAACTGGATACACATAGCAGGTAATGGCCTGATGACCTGTCATAGGGCCTGGTGGAAACTTGGAAATTTGGACAGGAGGTTACAAAGCTCCTTTTCTAGAATGTGGGGCTCAGGGTGCCTGATCTGGATGAGGATCTGGGAACCTGATTTTATCCAAAGGCAGAGTCAATCTCTAGAACCTTGCAGACAGTTCAGCCAAAGATGTTATCCAATGGTGGGGCAGAGAGGTAGAACCTGGTACAGGCCTATGTTAAATTTAAGTCAGGACACTAGGACAGAATGAGTGGGTTTGAGGTGGAGGGTAGAAAAGAGAGTTTCTCTGTGGGGTTGGAATCTAGCTATTTGGGGAGATAAATGATGAGAGCTCATGGGGGGTTGTGGCTAAAATTCCCAGAACAATTATGCATTATAACTATATATATTATATATATGTATATAATATATATAGCATGTGTGTGTATGGTTTTATATATATATATATATGCATGGTTATAAAGATATAGTATATATTGCTTTATCTATCTACCTATCTATCATCTAATCTAGCTATATCATTTGTCTCTCACTCATATATACATGTTAGTTCAGGAGGAATCATGAGAGATGGCAAAATTGGGAAGTCCCTTGGAGGAACAATGAGGAGGCCTTACTGGAACCAACTGTGTGTGTCTGGCAAACACTTGTTAACCTCCTTGTATTTCTATGGAGGGCAGGATCTTTGATTAGGAGGGCTGGTTGGAGAAAGTTTTCCTTCAACATTGCCTAAAGTAGTCCAAAGAGGCTTTAAACATTTTTTTCAATTCAAAAAAATGTTTTTGCTGATGTATGAAGGTCTACTTGATGTACAATAAATTGCAGATATTTGCAGTGCACAGTCTGATGGATTTTGATATACCTCTATATCCATGAAAGAATAACCATAATCAAGATACTGAACATAACTCATCACCAACACAAGTCCCGGTAGGGTATTTAATAAGGTGAATGGTAGATTTTCTTGATGAGGCCAGAAGGAAGGTCACAGGTTCAGCCTCAGAATAGGCTGTCAATCACCTAAATCTGAAAAAGTACATTGTTCAAGATATCAGTGGAGTTTCAATTGAGCTGCCCAAAGAAAGATAAGGAGGTGCCAGTGGAAATTTTTCAATGTTTTGTTTCTAGCACACAGACACAAAAGAAGAGGTAGAAGATGAAAATGAGGGCAAAAGAGCATATTCAGTAAGTATTCACAATACAGAATGCTTTAGATGGAGTCTAGCCCTGCATGTTGATAACAGGCAGCACATACTTTTGGTGATGAAGGAAGGGAAAATCTTCCCACCCACTCCCCCACAAACAACTAGATTACTGGTGTATGGGGTTGGGGAGAAACTATAGCTGTACTCTGGAGACTGCCACTTTATGCTACAGCCTCAGCACCTTGGTTGTGTGGCCAAATTTTTTATGAAACTCTAGGAAAACTGTTAAAGAGTGTACAGCAAATGCTACAATGTCTGACTTCAACTCTGTCTCTCTTGCCCCACACTGAGCCTTCCCCCCACTGCAATGTGGAAGGTCATGGACAGGCCATGAGTGACCAAGCCTGAAGGAGAGGCAGGAATTCCAGCCCTTTCTGGCCCCATTTCTTAAACTATTTATTCAAGAGAAAATCACAGTCTTATTGGAACTGCTGTTCAGTATAGAGCTCCATGGTTTCTGAGCTGCTCAGTGGTGGACCTGCAGCAGGGTGGTATTCACTGGCACAGTAGTAGGAACCTTCATCCACCTCTGATGCCTTAAGGATCTCAAGCAAAACCTGGTTGTTTGATTTATCAACGTTACCTCGGAACCTGTGCTGGAAACCAGGGCCGTAGGTGCCCCCATCTCGGAATATGAAGGTCAGTGTGTTAACCTGGGTCTTCCTGTACCAGTTCATGTAGTAGCTAGTGATTGCTGCTCCTTCCATCGTGCACCTGAGGGTGACAGACTCTCCCACAGGCACAGTCACGGCTTCGTCTTGAGGCACCAACACAAAAGCTGACGTGACTCCTGAGAGAAAAGGCACAAGAGGGGTCCAGGGAGGATGGGCTGAGGTCACTGATTACAGGGCACTGCCCATGAGTGCCTGGCCCTGGCAGCCTTGCTGCCTCACTGTGGCTGAGCCTTGCCAGTTGAGGTTCCCGGATCTGCCTTACCTGCCCAGAAGAGGGTGAGAGGGATGAGGGAGCAGATCCTCTGCATGGCTGCACTCAGGCACAGCTCTGCCTCCCAGCTCGGCCTTTGCTGGGTCCTTCTAGTCAACACCTTCTCTGTGACGTATTTGAGCCTGAGGAAACCTGCCCCTGTTGGCAGCTGCTCCGCACCCCAAGCGGAGTTTTGCCAGTCACAGGAGGCTCCGAGAGCCTGTTGCTGGTTGATGCGATGACAATGCCACTTTCGAGGTCCATAATGTGGTGCAGATAAGGCCATTTGAGAGGAGGTTAAGGCAGCTGCTTATTTGATTTATAGCAAGGTTTCTACTTCCAGTCCCAGAAGTTAAGTTTAATATTGTTGCTTCATTTTCATGTTAGATGTAGATGTTGTACACTCCGTGGTGATGTTAACAGTGAATGCCTAGAAGAATTATTGGCATTTACAGCTGTAATCAAAAGAACCATCAGACAAGGAGTGTGGTAGAATGTGCACGAGGACTGTGGGTATTGTAATGGGTGTTGTGTTTACTGCGAACTCCCTCCAGGCAAAGTTGGATCAGGGTGATTCACCCAGGTGAATTCAACAGGCTCATGAAGCACTGACTCCATTTGGAGCCAGAGTCTCCTGATCTTCACTGGGTTCATTTATCCTCTTTTCTGAAGGGTTCTTAGGTCACCTGGGCTGAATTACACAGAGCAACAGACTGTAAAAAACTTAGAAACCACCACTATGTCCTACTTTATGACACCCCAAAATTTATATGTATTTCAAAAGAGAGGAGTCTTTGAATTCTTGGACCTATACTTTTGAATTTCAAGATCAAGAATCTGTGAAATCTTGAAATCAAACAGATAAATTACTAATGGAAAGTAGAGGGTGCAGCAGATGCTGGGAAGAGGGTCATTCAGCATGCAAGGAGGCAGGAATGAAGTCGGTATGTGATATCTGAAGCTGGGGGCCCGACCTAAGTTCTCTAACTTTTCTGTATTCTGCAGCATGTCTGGGACCAGACTGGCCTGAGGAAGTTCAGATGGATGCAAACTCAGATTTGCTTGACCTCATGGTATTTGGCCTCCGTACCCTCGCTTCACTGCACTTACCCAACTGTCCATCTCTCCAGTATTCTGAGAGGACCATTAGCAAGTACTCAAGGTGGTCAAATTCTTTGAAATTAAAAATGGCACCATCAGTACCCACCTATGGGAAATAATAATGCCCATTCTCTATAATTCTTTGAAAATTGTCAAGGGCAGTTTCTTTGGACTTAAACATAGTTGGTCTTTCAATATCAGGTTGCCTAGCTCTTGGCACTTCCTATGAATCCAGTCAAATGATTTTTTTTTTTACTGTGCACCAGACCCTGAGGATGCACTGCTGAATGATAGATGTGCTCTCTTCTCCCTTGGAGCTTCTGTTCTAGCGTGAGAGCCAGTCATCAGTTAATGATTTGCATCATGAATTCTTCCACTGATGCTGTGATGGGTGCTCTGCAGAAGCAGGGGGATTGCGAGAGCATGCTACAGGGGCCAGGACCTGGCCAGGAGGTCCAGGAAGACTGCCCTAAAGAAGTGGCTTGGCAGCTGAGATTGAAAAACAGAAGTTGCCCAGGGGTGCCAGACCATGTCTGTTTGTCCCCCCACATCCACTCCACTTCCTACTTGAGGAGGCTGACCGTAATGGACAGCATCCACCTGGCCCCTTTGCTCTCTGGCATCCAATTCAGTTTGGCCAGTGGGAGACACCATCAGGAGATGAAGTGCAAAGAGGAGATGGGGGTGGAGTGGTAGGCGCCCAGGCTCCTTCCTGCCAGGCTGCCGAGGGCCGTGGCTGCCTTCCTCCTGGGGGCTGCAGCTGTCCCACAGCTGCAGGTTCCAGAAAAGGCCCCTCCACTCCGTGCTTCACACTAGGGTGGCAGTGGCTTCTTGTTGCCAGACCACCTTTTCTTTTTTCAGTTTTCCATAACCCAGCTGTATTCATTTTCTATGGCTGCTTTAACAAAGTACCACAAACTGGGTGGCTAAAGACAACAGAAATTTATTTTCAGTTCTGGAGTCTAGAAGTCTACAATCAAGGTGTCAGCAGGGTCCTGCTCCTTCTGAAACCTGGAGGGGAATTCTCCTTTGCCCCTTCCCACTTCTGCTGGTTTGGTGGCAGTCTTTGGCTCTTCAGCGTTTGCAGCTGCAGCGCTCATCTTGGCCTTCATGGTCACGTGGCATGCTTTTTGTGTCTTTGTCTTTACATGGCTGCCTTCTTACAAAGACATCAGTCATATTGGATTGGGGTCCACCTTACCTAAGTATGACCGCGTCTTAACCAGTTACATCAGTCTTAACTAATCGCGTCCATTGCAGTGATGCTATTTCCAAGAAAGGTCATTGTCTGAGGTACTGGGGGTTAAGACTTCAACATATCTATTTTTTGAGGGGCACAATTCAATCTGTAACACCTGCCCAGACCTTGTAAATATCCCTTTCATTAGATTCTCTGTAAATTACCCCTTTGAGAGAACACTTTGCCTTTTGCTGGGACTCTCATATGTCAGATATAGGGGGCAGGTGGAGGGAAAGAACATTAAGAAATGAGGACATGCCCAAAAAAAGCGCCCTGTGGCAGGAAGAAGTACTTTGAGCTTAAAGCTGCATAAATATCAAAAGAACAGTTAGCAAGGGCTCGAATAAATCTGTCTTCCTAGAGGATCACTATTGAACTATCCCAGATTATTCAGGAAGTCATTCTGAAAAATCCCAAGAATGTGCTTGTGTTTATGACTGTAATTTATATCTGCCACAGGTTAAAGGTAATTTTAAGGGTTTATCGCTAATGGGAAAAACAACCTTCCTCTAGCCCTGACCAGGAGAAATTCAGTACAAACAGTAAGTCAAAGCCTGTGGTAGAAGTGGAGAAAGAACCGATGGGAGAGGCACAGAGTGGCTGGAAGATGTGCCATGCCTGGTCCAGGAGAGGCAGGAACTGCTGCTGGGAGTTTGGCCTAGGCTTGTGGCAGGAGCAAGATGAACCTGATCACAAAGATGGCCTATCTTGCGGTGCCCAGGTAGAAGTCAGAAAGTGTGCCAGGGCCCCTGCCCTTGAACTCTACCTTTCTCGGTCTCTGTGAAGGCTCTGTTCCTTCTGCTTAGTCACTTGTTCTTTGTCAAGGCCAGGGATTAGGCCACAGCTTGCCTGGCCCTGGGGGATGCCTGTCATTTGTTATGACTTTCTGGGAGAACTAATGTTTCCTTGCAGTCTATGAGGAATAAATGGAATTACATTTACAAATACTTGGCTCATTCTTGGTTGTTAGTTTCCACCTTCCAGAGAAGACCTGAGGCTTGAGCAGTTCCTAGGAGAGGCAAGGGTGCTTTGGGGGCTTTATCCACCCTTCCCCATAGTCTCCATCAGTTCCTATTTTTTGACATCTTTTCCAATCTTATGTGCTATGAAAATGCAGCATCTGGGCAAGCTTCTGAGGCCTCTTCCAACCAGAGTGCCACCCACCAGACCTTCCTTTGTAGAAATTCTGAAGTCGCCTTTGCATATAGTGCTTTATGATGCATGAGTGCTACCCCACGCTGGCTCTTTTGTGTGTCTGTACCTCTTGTGAGATTCCTCCAAAGCACCTGTTGAACCCATGCTGGTCCTCAAATGTGCTGATGGAAGTGACATGTGTTCTGCCCACAGGATGTCTGACTTGAAGGGGAGCTGCTGTTTATAATGCCACAAGGAGAACAAAGGAAGACCGGTGAGGAGTTCATTCCCAAGGTCATGGCTACAGGAAGGACCCAGGTCTTTGGGTTGAGGCTCTAAAGATGGGCCACATCATTACAGGAATTTTGTTCCCTCCAGCCTTACCGACAGAGGAGGGTAAAGATGCATAGATGAACTGCTGACCCACATAGACAAACAGCTGGGAGCTCTGCTGTAAGATGGCTGGAGCTGTCTATAAGGCTGAGGTTGTTAGTGTTTCATTTTCAGAGGCAGGGTGCTGCTTGGGACTTGCAGGCAGATCAACCAACAGATCATACAGCAGTGGAGGAAGATCTGTTCATTGGCCTCACTGAGAACAGAAGGCAGGATGAATGATCTGAGGGTGGTAGAGACCTCAGCAAGCCTTTGAATCCATATTTTAGCCTTCACTTCCCTGTAACCACAAGCAGGGAGCTACTCTTACTGTTCTTCGAGTGAATACCTTGAACTCTGTCCATTTCTTTGAATTTACTCAGGCTGTTGGGAGCAGGCAGCTTGCTGACCCTACCTCTGCTCAGGCCTCGACAGGATTCTCTCTACAGGCTGGGCTGCATGAAGTCCTAGAAGCTGGGGGTCCTCTTTCTTCACTGCCTGCTCTAGCTCAGGGGTGGCTGGGCTGTAATAGACGGACCACCGGATTTAGGCTTGGAAGATCTGGGTTGGTATCTGACACTGCCACTTATTTGCAAGTCACTTAACCTCTAGGACTGAGTCCGGGTCAATAAAATGGGGACAATACTGCCTCATGTGGTCATGAATAATGGAGGTGAGTATACTACCATTGATTTATAGTCAGACCTGCCCTGGGGGTCAGCTGACCGGTGCGGAAGAGGGAGGCCACTTCCCTGGAGGCAGAGGAGATGTTGATATGTAGCTTCAGACAGTTTTCAGTGCTTGTTTCCCCCTACATGTGGATGTTCCTTTTATTTTTTGTTGCAATATATTTACTTTGGATCTCGTATTTATATACTGAGGATGCTGCTTCCTAGGAAAGGAAATAGACTTTACGAAAATGCTAGTCTTTCAGAGGACAAGAGCCCATAACTGTCACACAGAATTTAACAGAAAATATTATTGCACTGGATTTAATTTTTAGTAGCAGTCAAGTGCCTACTATAGTGCTCTGCCCATATCAAGCACCCTGTAAATGCTGAGGCTGGACTAAAGCAAATACAACCCAACACATATGGAATGGGAGGGTGAAGTGAGTGCAGACAATGGAGATTAGTGAGAAAAACCAAAGTTAAAGCACGACAGAGGTTTAATGGAGTATCATAGAATTATCTACTGAGAGGAGAGAGTAGAATAAACTAGAACTAATAAGGAAATACAACAGTATGGAGAAGAGAAATGTGGAAGCAGGGAAAAGCTGGAGAGGGACAGTCACCCCCATGCAGTGGTTCTCCATCTTGGCTGCACACAGGGACCACATGGGGAGTTTTAAATAATACTGAAGCCTGGGTACAGTCCCCAGAGAATCCAATTTAATTAGTATGGGGTGGTGTCTGGGCATCAGGATTTTTAAATGCTCCCTAGGTAATTCTGATGTGCAGCTGGGGTTGAAAACCGCCGTGTAAGGGAATCATTTAGCCAAAGAGTAAAGCTTGTAGTGCGGTAAAGGCTTAGTGCAGTGTGGTCCTCGGGGGACAAGACAAAGCCTCTGGCCAGGTATCACTCACTTGTGACCAGGAGCGTCTGCCAGACTTCTGCTCCATGTCCTTTCTCCAGGAGCAGCTTGGACTCTCAGTAGCTCCCCTCCCTGGTAACTGCCCTCCTCAGGCCTCTGACCCATCAGAGGGTGTGGGGGCCTGTTCAGGTCAGCATTAGCCACCTCTCTGTTCCTCTGAGCCCCTATAGCAGTGCTGGGCCCCTCGTGGGCGCTTAGTAAAGGGTTGCTAGGTGCTGTGGTCCTTCTGGGCCCTTTCATGCTGATTGAAATGGGCTAAGTTTGTGGTTCTTGCTTCTTCCTCCCAATCCTGCCCTGACTTCAAGATCCAAATTCTGCCCTTCCCAGCTCCCTCTTGGGAAGTAGAATTCAGGCAGGGGAGCCTGCTCACTGTGGTTCCTACACTGGACAACACAGCACGGTGCGTGACTGGAACTCAGCGTGCAGCACACCCGACCCACAGTAATGCATTCTGCTGTCAGCTTTGTGTTCTCTTTTTTTCCCTGCCCTTCCTCCTCCCTTTTCTTTCTCCCTCGCTCCTTTCCTTGTTTCTCTCCTGTACTCCCCAGGCTCACAGCAGCAACCTCATCCAAGAAGACCTGCCGTTAAGAGTAAAAATGTGTCCAGTGCCCTGAAGTGGCCGCTTGTTTTTGGAGGGAATGACTTACTTTTTCTCCCCAGGAATTGCTGATTTCACAGTAAAGATTTTGCTACCACAGGGAGACCTGTGGGTAGAATTTAAAGTTATCACTGTCTCTGGAAATCCTCTCTGATTTGCCCTGCTTGCTGGAAGAAAGGGGGATGGAGGCAGGGGTGCTGCTGGTCCTCAGGTAGAACATGGAGAGGACAGAACAGAGATTTGCATGCTGTTCAGAGACTAATCTTAGGCCTTTGTTAGTAGAAATCTATTTATACAAAAGCAAAAACAAAACAACGACTATTTTGTACTTCCATCCCACAATATCCAAATGGAAAGGAAAAAGCTGAAACAACCCTGGAGTGGGAGCAGGTAGGTTATTAGTTTAAAAGGACCTGAATAGGAGCCCCTCCCCCTTTGAAGTATTTCTCTGCCCCTAAGAAAAGCCTCTCCCTATTCTCCTCCTCTGAAATGGAGAGAAATATTTTGCTCAAGGTTCTTGGCTGGGAGTAGGGTCAGGGAGTCGGAAGAGATAAATGTTTTTTTCCCCTCCTTTAGTGAGGGGAGCTTATGAAAATAATGTAGATGCTTCGGTGCTTATGGGGGCTCAAATTCTGTAGCTCTGGAATTATAGAGCTGTGGGATTTAAATCTTATAATAGGGATCTTGTATCTTCCAACCTGGCAGTTGACCCCAGGACAGAGGGTGATGCCAAGGCTGGGCTTTCTCAGAATCCAGGAAATTCCCTGCCTCATCTCCCATGGAGAAGCAGGTAAAGCCCCTTCTCCTTCAGTCAAGGGAGAGGAGAGAGCCTGTAGCATGCCTCCCTAGGAGTGAGATCCTGCCCCCTCCTCCTTGAGTGGGAGACTATCCTGTGGGTTAGGTCTATGCTGCCCAGGAGGGGAAATGTTAAGATGGAGAAGTGTCACTTTCTGCCCTTTGGGAGAGCCATGTGGTGGCCCCAGCTGCTTGTACTGGTTGGGCCTCTGTGCCAGTGTGTCCCACAGCCACCAACAAGAACTTGCATCATCTATGCTTTTTCTGGTCGGCCTTCCAACCTGGACACTTTTCCATAGGTACCTCCTGGTGCCTGGGCTCTGAGCTGACATCCTCCTGCTCTCACTTAGCTTTACCACAGCTTGGAAGCAAAATGGGATGAAGCTCTAAAGTTCTGGGGCTGACTGAGGAAAATGGAGGAGAAACATGGAACCAGTCTAGGGTGCTTTGGGAAAGGCAGCTGTGTAGATAAAAAAGTGGCCGTGAGGTAGCTTTGGGGGCTAGAGAAAGAGACTTCCTAAACCAGTGAAGTGGGAAAGTTAGTATTTGAGTGGATGCTGGTGCTGCAGCCACTTGGGTCCCCACACCCAGTGCCCTCGCCCCCTTCCCAGGACTCACCCACTCAGCATCGGTTGCCACCCCGTTGCTGCATCCTGTGCACTTCTGACGTCCTGGTTGGTTCAGTGGGTTTGCAGTGAGTCTTTGGTGGGAAGTGGGGATGGGACTACAGTAAATGAATATCATCTATTGTGCTCACTGTGGCTAGAGACACTATAGCTAAGAGTGATTGTTTTAAGATCACTGTGGTTCGGTCATGTCAAAGCCTTGTTTAGAATGCAGGTGCTGTTGTATACATCACGATGCGGTGGATTAAAGGGGTCATTAACACCAAACTGAGTAATGAACACTTAGTATGAGTGAATGAGAAGATTACTGAATAAAAGTAGAAGCTGCCCACTTGGCCCAGCTTTAGTTGCCAAGTAGTCTGAGCATTTGCACATGTACAGGACTGAGTGGTGACTGTGTGAACTTGGAAAGTTACCAAAGGAAATACTACATGCAGCAAGACTGCCCTGCTGATGAACAACCTCGGCATCCATCAGATGGAAATAACACTGAGTGAAATCATGGTACCTGACAAAGCATACTGTGTCAGTCTGAGCCGACAGCAATGTCTGGGCTGTGGTGAGAAATGACGAATGTAGGAAACCAAAAGGTGCATAGGGAATGGCACATGCCAAGAAGATGGACTAGAAGGGTGCAGGGAAAGAGGGTTTTTCCAAGACTCAGCTGATGATGATCTCTTTGTGTCAGAATACTTTATTTATAAAAGTGCAGCTCAAGTCCCAGATTGGTGACCCAGAGGCTGAGCTGAGGGGTCACAGCTGCAGCATGCTAGTTGAATTGTTGCCTCTATTCACAATCTGCTGTGTTTGCGATGATTTGTAACATGGATGGGATTCACCTGGGCTCTGTACCGAATGCTAAAGCCCCTGTGGGCCCAGGAGGCTGCCTGTTAATAACTATCATAACACCAATTACATGTTTATCAAGGAACATATGATAGGGAAGGAACACTAGCAGAAAAAGAAGGTATCATTTAAATGCTATGACAATTGAAAAATGTTCACCTTTGCAGAGTTCAGACAATTTTCCTCTTACTTTGATAAACTAAACCCTAAGCTTCAAGCATGTTAAGGCCAAGGAGAAACTTTTACTTAGGGCAACCAAGATGAGAAAAAGCAGCCTCTGTGTTCACACATGAAGGACCTGTGCCCTGGGGATCTTGTCCACCTTCTAATCAGGGCCTCCCTGGTGTGGTCACCAGGGACCCCGACTCACTTAGGCAGATCAAGTGTGAAAAGGTTCTCAGATTTCCTATAAGCAATACTTAAGTTCCATTAGTCCTCTTCTCTTGCAAAAGTGTATGAAACTTAGCTGATTTGACTAGTTGAAGAGGTCTTGGGAAAGGCTTGGAAAAGAACAGGGTCAAAATTCAGATGAAGAACTAGAGGTGCAGCTGCCACATGCTATTATTAGAGCTGCCAGTGAAACATCTTTCTGCAGTCCAGGGAGTCTCCCTCTTTTGACCCCCTGTTTGGCCCTGAATCTAAATCGAGGAGTCAGCATTATACAGTTGAACTGCTGCTGTTTGGGTGGGAGAGTTTTAGGCAGGCTCTTCTTGTTTTCTTGTACCATCTCATTTTAAAGATAGGGGGTAGATCCAAATGGGGACTATTGTGAAGAGTAAGTCAGCCATGGCTGTAACATACCAGCATTGCCAGATGGGGTGTGGAAATGTAGGCAATTTATAAAACCTTTGTGGCAGCTTCTGAGACCACAAGGGATGATACTGGCTCAATTTAGCATTTTTAAACTTAAGTATTCATCTCATGCCAGTGTATGTGGCTGTGTTCTTGCAACTGAGGGTGTTCATTTGGAAACAGAAGGATGAGGCATTATTTTTTAAATAAAAGATTCCCTTTCATTATGTTTGTGTCTCAGTGATCTCTAAAGCAGAAATTCAGTTCAAACATTAAATTCAATAATCATATATTAAACACTTACTATGCCACACACTGTGGAAACTGAAGATGAAACAGACTGAGGATCCCTGTCCTCAAGGGGTTTATAAATTAGGTGGAGTGCAAAGGAAATATCCAAACAATCCCGAAAAAGAATACATGAAATGACTCAAGAAAGGTAAGTGCTAAGGTGGGTCACCTGGGGGGAGATTGTATCCTCCAAGGGAGGTTTTGCATTAGAGATATACATTTGGGAGTCATGAGTAACACCATGAACATCAGTGAGATTACCTAGGGAGAGACACAGAAGGGAAAAGGGAACCTAGACAAGGGCCCTGGGTACTCTATATTTAGAAACTAGATAGAGGAGGAAGAGCTAGCAAAGGAGACTGAAGAGGAGAGGTTGCTGATGTAGATAAAAATCAGCAAAGTGTGGCTTCTCAGAAGCTAAGCATGGAAAATGTTTCAAGAAAGAATGGGTGGAGATTATATTAAAGATGGTGGCGTGAGAGGAGAGAGAGAGGTTTCCTCCTAAAACTGGATACAATTAGAAAATATAGTTGGGGCAACTAATCCTGAGAGAGTAACAGGAAAGAGTATGGTGTCAGACTGCACACACCTGGAGAAAAGAGCAGACCTCACCAAACCAGGTAATGTACCAGAGCTGTGGCTCCATGGGACTCGAGCCCCTCCCCCACCCAAGCTCACCGGGGGAAGAAGAGAAACGGAGCAGGGAGGGAGTGGAAGGCTTGGAACTGCTGAATACTTAGCTCCGGAGATCTACTCTGGGAGCAGAAACCTACATTTCATGGTGCTTTCATGAGACTCGCATGACTACCGGATTGGAAAGTTAATACCGGCAGAGTTCCTGGGGAGACTGGGATTCCGACTGCTTGTGGAAAGCAGGGATCCATATCCGGCTGCTCTGGGACAAAAACTTATACCTGTGTGCCCGGCCCACTGGCTCAGGCAGTGGAGACAGGCACAGCAGCCAGGAGGTGGGGAACAGCTCTTTCCTCCCCCCAGGCCCAGTACCACTCCCCTGTGACCCCCGACATTCCTTCAGGGGCTGAGCAGCTCCAGAGACTATAGCTTCTGGACACTAGAGGGTGCCATATACAAACATGAAATGCCAAGGGAACCTTGTCCAGAGTAAAATTATTAATACAACTCCGGAGAAAGATTTAAGTGATATGGACCTCGTGACACTTCCTGAAAGGAAGTTCAAAATAATAATCATGAACATTCTAATGGAGGTACGGAAAGACATCCAAGAACTCAGGAATTAATTCAGGTCAGAGATCCAATCATTGAAGAGCACGATGGAGGGTATTAAAAGCGGGTTGGATACGGTGGAGGAGACAATAAATGAAATAGAAACTAGAGAAGAGGAATACAAAGAAGCTGAGGTACAGAGAGAAAAAAGGATCTCTAAGAATGAAAGAATATTGAGAGAACTGTGTGACCAATCCAAGCAGAACAATATTCGCATTATAAGGATACCAGAAGAAGAAGAGAGAGAGAAAGGGATAGAAAATGTCTTTGAGGAGGTAATTGCTGAAAACTTCCCCAATCCGGGGAAGGAGATAGTGTCTCAGGTTATGGAGCTCCACAGATCTCCCAACACAAGGGACCCAAGGAAGACAACACCAAGACACATAGTAATTAAAATGGGAAAGATCAAGGATAAGGACAGAATGCTAAAAGCAGCCAGAGAAAGAAATAAGATCACATACAAAGGAAGGCCCATCAGGCTAACATCAGACTTCTCAGCAGAAACCTTACAGGCCAGAAGGGAGTGGCATGAT